CAGACACAGAAACACACATTCACACACAAAGACACAGACACAGACACAAACACACAAACAGGCAAACACACAAACGCACCACCATGCAAGCAAGGAAAAAACCGGAAACACACCAGCGCACACACAAGAACACAAGCACACAAACGCACAACCGCGCAAGGCGCACACACACAAACGCACAAACACGTAATCACACAAACCTAGAAGCACACAGATACACAATCACACAAAGACACAAGCACGCAAAGGCACAGCAATCAAACAGACCACAAACAGACAAACGCAGCCACGCAAAGACACAACACACACCCACACCGCACAACACACACACACACCACACGCAACACGCAACACACACACACACACACACAACAGACGCACCACACACAACAGACGCAAAACACACCACACACAACACACACACACACGCAACACAACACACAACACACCACACACACACACCACACACACAACAAACACAACACACACACACACCACACCACACATCACACACACACACACCGCACACACAACAAACACACACACACACACAACGCACAGACGCACGACATGCACAACGCACAAAACACAACACACACCACACACACACACAACACACACAACACACATGACACACACACACACACACGCGCCACACAACACACACACATTAAACACACACACACACACACAGACACTCTAAACACACACCCACAACACACACACACAACACACACAACAAGCAGACGCAGCACGCACACATTACACACACACACACACCACACACACACACCACACACACACAACACAGAAAACACAAGACACAAAACACAACACGCGCACACACACACAAGACACACACACACACACAACACACTACACACACACGCACCCGCGCTTGCAAATGCCCACGCCCAGCCCCACGCCCACACCCGACGCGCACAGATGCACAAACATACGGAATCGCAGGCAGACAAGACCTTTGATTACAGCAATATGTGATGTCGAGCTCACCAAAAGGGTGCCTATTTCCTTTGGCTAACACGGAAGCCTCCACGTAGCCACGTAAGAAGGAAAATCCTTTTCCGACAGCGTCCTGGAGGAATCAAGTTGCGCGGAAAAGTCATGAGAAACCAAACAAGGTTTTTCCACCCTTGAAAACCACCAGGTCTCAGACCAGATACCCAAAACCTCCAAACCACCAAGTGGTTCTTGAGCGGTTTGCTCCACCCCTTTTCCCTTTGTGGGTGGGGTTGCCCTTCGGCACCAACCGCCTCCAAAAGGCGATGTACCTTTCTTAGCCATCGCAAACCCACGGCATGCTCATGCACAAACGTCCTTTGGGTGATGGCCACGGTTCCCGGTTCCATGGTTTAACTGAGCGGGTGTGTCCATCTCCAGCGTTTCCAAGTAATGTTGGACTTTTGGAGGTGAACCCCCCTATTATTGATAAACTGGGGTTGATTAATATGGAGCCAGGGTCAAAAGTGATGCCAGGACAAGGTCAAGGCCGGCACCTGGGACCTGTCCTATGCCGGCCTCTGAGGGCCGTCGCCGGAGAAAACCCCCATGCAACCGGATCGATTCTGCGCGAACCCTGAAGACGGACACGCAAAAAAAAACATGCCGTAGACTACAAGAGGGTGATCTGCTAGCTTCCTGCTTGACACAGATCTACGGCTTCAAACCAAGAACCACGGCTCCCTCTTCTGGTGTTCGCACATTATTGGCCTGCTCGCGCTTTGTGCCAGAGCTTGGCACAAGGGGTATGGAGCAATGGCTGAGTTTCATCTTGAGTAGACCACAGAGTTGCGTGCATTATGTTGGTACCCGATGAAAAACGTAACTGGCCGCAAAACGAGGGACGGCAGCCCTTTGGCCAAGTCGCCGGATGAATTTCGGCCGCGCAAAAGGTGCCAGCTAGAGGGAGGGCCGGGCGTCTGAATGGAAGGCTGGAAGGCAGGGTTCCACATATGACCTCAATGGCCAACACCTGAAAATGACTGCGCATTGCCTGGACAAGTTGGCTGATTTCTGGCAAATGAAATCCAGACCTCGCAAAGGGTCACTCATGAGATTTTGGACAGTGATACGTGGGCTATTGAGGGCTCCATGATCCATGGGGATCATCTGGCATTCAGCAGGCATGCCTTGGCATGCCCGGGCTGGAAAGCCGTTGTGGCTCGCAGAACTTGCGTCAGAGAAACATGGGGCCTAGACAAGCAGAGCAAGCGCAAACCAGCGGTCGACATTTTCAAATCGTGATCACGAAACCAGACTTCGAAACCAGCAGACACTCCTGGCACCACCTGTTGCAAGAAGGCGAAATGAGAATGCGGCATGTGATAATTCTTTTTGCTGACCCTGTCTTTGGCGCGAAGCATGTGATCGAACAAAGGGTTGACAGAATGCATCTGCACAAGCCACGCAGTGTCAGCCCAGTGTTCTCTTTAGGGTTCAAGCGATTCAAGCGATTCGGTGCCAGTGATGTGCCTTTCTGATGGTGCAGTCGACAGAGGCTGGCAATCGTTGACAGCTGTATATTTGGACCACGTGTTTTCGCGTGGCATTGTCTGGACTGGTCACTGTCTGACTGGTACACAACCAATCTTCAAGCTTTCAATCATTCACTTGTTCATACTAGTGGCTCGGTCCAAGACCACACTTTAGGCCGTTAACCCCTTTTTTTGTTCGCTTGCTTTCTCCATGTCAGCAACTGGAAGTCACCCGGAAGTCCATTCACCCCTCATGGCTTTAAACGGAATGCTCCACGTTTGATTTCCACTGTCTCCACTGCCTTCCAATCCAACCCGCCAACCAATGGTATGCTGTCAACTCCCCCCCCTTCACAAGGCTTGGGGCATTCCCCCTGCATGGCCTGCTCCACCACCACGCCTGAGGAAAGGACCTGACCCTCCCTGAGGTCCATGCTTCGCTGCGGCAAGAAAGCGGCGGATTCGTGTGTTTCGGGGAGAACACAGGAGCCAGGGGTGAGAATTCAAGACCCAGAGTGTCTCCCTGGTTGGGCAAAGTGGCAAGTTTTGATGTGAGACAGGCAGCAATGACAGGCTGTCTTAGGGGGAGTATGTTGTCCATGGCTCACTTGAGGTCGGCATTGGGCAAAGTGTGTTCACAACAAGCAAGCCCCGCCCAAGGTTGAACGCAGCAAAGCACGTAAATAGGAATTGTCGAAAACTCTTCGGTGGACCTCCACAACTGGAGTGTGCATCGGCTTAAACCCGTTTGACCACACAACATGGTTGAATTGCCCCTTTGGCGGCCCATGTCGGCCGGAATCCAAATAGACGACCCTGGTTCTTAATGGTTTCCAGGCTTGATTCCACCCGGTTTCCCTATGGCTTTCTTTTGCATTTCCAGCCGAAGCTTTACCTTTAAACCAGCAAGTGCACTCGGGGTGAGTCTAAGGTCTAAGTGTGGCCGAGTTAACAACCTTTGTTTGCAGGTCTTTCGTCCAGCAACAATTATGTTCAATCCCTGCAGCGCACCAACCCCAGCCCATTTTGCAACCATGACTATAACTTCACTGAAACCGGTGGGTTTTCCTCCCAAAATCCCCTCCCCCCCCCCCCCCCAACACCCCCTCCCCAACCCCCCCACCAAACCCTCACCCCCCCCCCCCACGGCCCGCGGCCCGCACAGGCGCGCGCCCGGCCCTTCGCGCTGCCGGCCTCCTTCTGCTGGCCCCCCGCGCGGGCGGATACGGCGGGGTTCCGCGGGGGGCCGTGGGGGGTTCGAGCGAGCGAGGGGTGGGCTGGACCTGGGCGTTGCTGTCTCTCTGTCCTGATTTGGCCCAGCTGGCTGTGGTGCCTTTCGTTGCGTTGATACTGGGGATAGGTGAAGCGCCCCAGAAAAGAATGGGACAAGCCGACCAGTGGTGGGATCTTGTCCATTCAGAGTAGAGGGACCCTAAAAGTTGTAGGCCACCTTGAAAGTTCCCTCTCAACCAACCTCAAAAAAGTGCCCTTACCCATATGGCAATCAACATGGCGAACATACCCTTGTTCTCTCATTTCGGTTGAATCGATGTCCTCAAGTTGTTGGTGGATAAGAATCCCCACGAAAACGATGTCCAAAGGGTCCCCAATTAAAGTCCCTCAAAATTGGGGCTCTTTTTTCGGGGGCCTGGGTTTCCTGTTTGTGTTCCTCCTAAACCACTCCAAGAGGTTCCCCTTTGGAGACAGGACCACATCTTGAAAGACACTTGTGCACCAGCATCTAAATATCGCATTTTTAGTTCTAGGCAAAAGCTGAGGTAAAAAGGAAGATACTTTGAGTTGAGTTGCAGCACCAAAACCTCAAGCCTGGAAAACCCTACTACGAAGTGAGTTTCACAACACGGGGTCCGTGTCATGGGAGGAGCCTTCCTGGAAAAAGACAAATGGGATGTCCCCAAAAGGACAGGGTTTGGTTCCATGCTCATTTGTCCGGGAACACCCATGTTTACAGGCAGCATGTAGCGACCTCATGGCTTTGTGAGCGACTTCAAATCCCGGTAAAGATTCCTTGCATAGGGTAGGTGTTTTGTTTTTGGCGAATGACCATCGATAGCAAACATTTTTTTAGGGATTCTGCTGGCTTGAAGCAATGGGAAGGAATCAATTGCATCATGAGCTCGGACCGGGAAAGGTTTTAGATTGCTTGCAGGTGCTGAGTAGGGAATGAGAAATGGAATGACCCCTGTGAAACATCCAACTGGTGGTTTCCTTTGAGGGGACCAATGGGTTCTTTCCCTCATTCCCTACCTCTCGCACCAAGATTGGCTCTCAGTCAGCGTCTCAGACGAGAAGCGATCGACGGGTCATGACCTCGGCCAGGCGCGAAGAGATAGCAAGCGAGCAAGCAGTAGCCCAGGCCACGGCGTGTCCATTTACGTTTCCAGACTTGGTGAAACGTTTCCTCTACATGGCTGTGGTTGTCAAAATCAATGGGATCCCAATTTGGAGGATTGGTGAATTCACCCATTTTAGAACCTATTTTAGTGGTTGGATTGGTTGATGTTCACTGGGGGTAACGATTTGAATCTTGACCCATGGCCACATGGAAGCGGCCAGAAACCTCTGGAACGATCTGGTTTTTTCCGCTCAACATCACTTTCTGTTGGGTTTCATGTTTTTGGGCCGTTTTTTTGGGTTTTCTATTTGCCCACGGTTTGAACCGCGTGCCACATGTCCAATCGACTGAGTCTCGATCGATTTCTGGCCTCAGATTATTTTTCCGTTTGTTGGTATCCTGTTAGTCTGCCGTGACCAGAACACAGGGGGTTGGTTTTCTGTTTAATCGAAATCTATCAACCCCGTATATTGCATACAAGCGATGCCAGTGTTGTGTCAAACAGGGGCAGCACACACTGGACCCCTTTGCTCGTGCACCACCGTTGAAGTAAACGCCCCGGCCAAAAGTGACGATCGCCGCGGCGCGCATTTGGAAAGGGAACCTGTTGTTTTTGTTGTTGGGCAAAAGTCATAAGTGAGGGATGCAACTGATATCAACTGGCAGCGCACTTCGGCTTTTTCTCAACCTCCCGTCCTTACATCAGACCAGCTCGCATGGGCACCTCCCATCCTTACGTCAGACCAGCTCGCATGTGCGCCACTCAGCAAAGGCGTATCACACATCCGGCCATGTGATAAGCTGAGTTGGTTGCCGAAATGGCCACCAGTTCCTTCTGGTTGCCATTGAATTCCCCGCCAGCAACGGCTTAGTAAGCAGGTTCCATTTTCCAGCGTGAGCATAGCCCCAGCCATTCTGGTTCAATTCCAAAGCGTCCATCGGCTTCCTTTTGAGGCGTCAAAGAGAGCGTCAAGGAGAGATTCGACGCCACCTGGCATCTCGAATGCATCAGCGGTTTATAGCGGTTTGGTTGCTGGGAGGAAGCAGCGCCCCAATACCCTACGAAGAATGCGCATGGGCATATATTAATGTATGATATCATTGTTTGGACCATTTTGTTCAATGTGTTTTCCAATGGCAACACGTTGCCCTTGGACCTCCTTGCATCCGCGGGTTCAGGCACAGCCCTTGGTGCGGTTGCCTTTTCAAACTGTTTGCATTTTTTGTCTATAAACCATCCCGTATGGTTTCCATTTCAGGGAATCCCCAGGCTCATTGCCAACACCCTGGGTGATGCACCAGCAAGCTTGAAATCAGCAAGCAAGACGCATTTCGACATTGGGGGTCCTTTGATTTTGAATCCAAACGTCAAAAGGCAAAGCCTCAGCCACCAATTTCATCGGACGTCGGAACATAGAACTTCAAGTCACACACACACACCCCACTCACAAGTATCTGTCATGTACACATTTACATGAATATACATACATGCATACATGCATGAATGCATGCATGCATGCATGCATGCATGCATGCATGCATGCATACATACATACATACATACATACACGCCTACCTACCTACCTACCTACCTGCCTGCCTGCCTGCCTGCCTGCCTGCCTGCCTGCCTGCCTGCCTGCCTGCCTGCCTGCCTGCCTGCCTGCCTGCATACGTACGTACGTACGTACGTACGTAGGTACATACCCACACACACACACATACATACATACATACATACATACATACATACATACATACATACATACATACATACATACATACATACAGACATACAGACATACAGACATACAGACATACATACAGACATACAGACATACAGACATACAGACATACAGACATACAGACATACAGACATACAGACATACAGACATACAGACATACAGACATACAGACATACAGACATACAGACATACAGACATACAGACATACAGACATACAGACACACAGACATACAGACATACAGACATACAGACATACAGACATACAGACATACAGACATACAGACATACAGACATCCAGACATCCAGACATACAGACATACAGACATGCAGACATACAGACATACAGACGGACGGAAGGACGGAAGGACGGACGGACGGAAGGACGGACGGACGGACAGACAGACAGACGGACAGACAGACAGACAGATTCACATACACATATGCATGCAGGCATGCATACATACATACCTTCATACTTACTTACTTACATACATGCATACATACATATTCCCAGCCCCATCTATGGATTGCCGGCGCTTCATCCATGCATCTCGCGGTGCTATGCAGGTGACTGCAGGGGATCTCGCCATGCGAAGGGGTTTGCCTTCGCGCAGCTCCCAAAGAAGCCTTCCTGTGTCCCCAACAGATGGGGTCAAACAAATGCCCAGCCAGGATTTTTGCAAAGAAATCCACCAGACCCTTAAAGTGCCCCCTGAGGGAACGCACTTTGGGAGGTTGAGGAATTAAGCAACCATTGTCTTCGCATATTGAAGTGCCGGGTTGGCCGAGCCCTGGTTTGAAGTGCACGTTGGAAGCATCCCCTCACCACTCAAATCTTTCGCCCAGGCCGGTGGCTCGCTCGGATCTCTGCAGTTGGCGCCCCTGCGTAGAAGAGCGGTTCTTCGCCCCAGAGGCCACGGAGAGCCATTCGTTCGTCGGGGATGGTTGCGCGGGGAAGGTGGGGGGGGAGGTCAAAACTGATGTCTCTTAGCCCAAAATGGTTGGCTGGTTCAAAAACCGTACCTTCACAAGAAACACGCCCAACTGTCAGTGCTTTTTGCGGGGTTTGAAGCGCATAATGTAGGGGAGTGAATAATAAAGGCCCCCCCCCCAAACAAAATGGGGGGGGTCAATAGAGGAAACCCTAAAACAAAATGAGGGTCAGACCGGGTCTTCCCTAAGTAGTATTCCAGTAAGTATTGGTTAGTATTGGTTTAGTATTGGTTTAGTATTCTTGCTGACTGGCTTAGTACTGCTTAGAATTGGTTTAGTATTGGTTTAGTATTCTTGCTGACTGGCTTAGTACTGCTTAGATTTGGTTTAGTATTGGTTTAGTATTCTGGTTTGGTTCACTAGTTCTTTGGAAAGGAAACTTCCTTTTCTGGGAGACTCAGTAGTTCTTTAGAAAGGGAAGCCCTTTTCCTTGCAGGCATCCCTGGCCCCAGCCCTAAAACACTTTTCTCAATTAACCCCCCTTAAACAAATCTCATTATTGGCTTCCTGGGTGTTCCCTGTACTACCCCCTTGAAAATTTGGGCAGGGTGCAACTTTTAGTAAGGGCTGTCATAAAGAATTTGGGTGTTGGGGACCTCAGTTAAACTTCCTTTTCAGGGGCTTTAATCATCATCTCCTTGTTTCTTGCATCTGACAGGCAAGACACCAAAGGTGGAAAGGTAGGGTGGTGGTGGTAGGTTGGGGGGGGCGGGCGGGGCAGAGAGAGACAGGAGTTGCAGTGAACTAGGGATTAATTTTCAAACTTTGTTTTGGGGAACATTTTTCCGGATTTTTTGCCCCTCACAAAAACTTTTGTGTATTAACTCCCCCTTTTGCTTTTCAGGGGTGTGTTTTTTTTTTTGTGTATTGACTCCCCATTTATTATTCGCAACCTAACATTACTTTTGTTTTAACGTATTTCTTTTGTGGATGGATTCACTTGTCACTATTCGAAGGGCACAAAGACCAAGCTGGAGTGCGTGTTGGTTCCGGCTGGAAGCTAAGTTCTCGCGCGCACGCAACCGCGCTGGCCTGCGAATGTGAGTCCAGAACTTTGCAGTCCAGAGTCCAGAAGATTCCAGGCCCCTTTATGGATTGGGCGAGCTTCGGGTCAACTTTCACAAAGGGAGAGATTTGAAGGGATCTCTTCCCCTCGATCAGGAAAAGTAAGTTTAAGCCCCTGGTTCACTGAGGCGGAATGCCCCTTCAGTCGGGAATTCTTGGTTTGCAGGGCTTGGCTCTCTGACAACATACGTGTCCAATGGGTTCAAGCAAGGAAAAAGCGTCGGCCTTGCTGCTTGGTACCTGTTTGAAGCTGCTACGCATTAACGGTTCATTGATCACCTTCACAACAGTCTCACCTTTCACTACAGACATCTTGTTGCAGTGTTGTTTCTTATCTACTTCCTTTATTGTCATTTGCCCCACACTGACCTGCAAGGTCCAAACGTCATGTTTTTGCACAGCCGTATCCTGGCGGCGCTGAATGCAACTGTGCACACATGCAGTATTTAGTGTCCGCTATAGACAATTAACATTTCTGGCGTGCACGGTGCCTTGGGTTTGCTGAAGCTTGGTGGCAGGCGGAGGCTTTAGACTGGTTGGCGCAGAGCGGTCGGCTGGCTCTTGTTGAAACCATGGCGCGCCTATGTTTTGTTTCCAGGGTTTGCACATGGATTCCTGCTCTCTGGCAACACAACATGTTGTGGAGATGATCGCTCCACAGTCGTCCACCACAGTTCAGGATAGCTTCAAGGTCTTCAACTACACGATGGCAAGCAAGGGGGCTTGGAGTTGTTTTGTTTTGCTTTGTTTCCGTTGAGAGGATGGTGCAGGTTCTGCGTAAAGGCTCCGTGGCAGATGGGGAAAAATGGAGGGCATTTATGAAGCAAGGCCTCTTTTGGTAGCTGTCAAGTCTTTCTCCTTTGGAGCCTTTCAGCCGACTTGGGAACCTCTGGATGCTTCAGAGCAAAATATTTGCGTCTAGGGGGATCCCCCAAAGTGGCTAGCTTCATTTTGATTTCCCTTTCAAGCCAAAAGAGACGCCCACACAAAGGGCACTCATTCGGGACGTTCAAAAGTTAGCTTACAATTGGCCTGCGCAGGCAGTGGGGGGGGGGGGGGCAAGACAGTGGGAACTTATCTCACCACACCAACCTTGTTTGAGCTTTTTCCTTGAGGAGCAGCAGGTAGCGCAACAACTCAATGTAAACGCACAGCGACATTCAAGATGAGTCTACTTGACAAATCCAGGGCTACTTGAGGACAAATAATTTGTCCACTGTCAACATGGGCTCTACTAACTTGGAAGCAGGCGATGTTTGGATGCTTCATTGCAGAGGCCCCCCTGATCTGGAAAGTCCAGGGAAGGTTGCCGGGCTGTTGACACTTGAACAGTATTTCTCGGGAGCTTTGTTAGGGTTGCATCAGCATATGGATGTATCCTAAAATTGGGGGGAAAAGGGTGGTGTCGGAGGGCAAACCGCAAGAAAACGAAGCGACATCTTTACGGCTCCCCTATTTTTCAAGAAGCAGAAAGAAAACAAATCCCTCACGGTGTGTATTGTCAGGATACTTTTCGGCTAGCTGGCTTAGAAGAGAAACAAACGGAAAACCTTCCAACACTGGAAGCCAAGTCAAAAGTTGGTTTCCCCCCCATGGCGTTCAACTGGAAACCAGTCTCAAAGACGGAAACGGCCACGCGCAGCTCGTTGCTTAGGTGAGCCGGAAGTGCCCGTCCCTGCCACAGAGCCAGGCAGGAGATCCCTCAAGGGGGTGGAATCAGTCCGCTCATGTGGGTTTGGCGCAATCGGAATTGGCAACCGACATGCCCTGGAATCAAGAACCCGCTTGATTTTGATGCGGTGATGTCCCATCCGGACTGGGGAAATGACGGGCGCAGGTGAATTCGGGGTCAAGGAAATGCAAACGAATCCGGGAGCGAGATGGAAGAATTGGGTGCCCCACGCCCCCTCTCCTGGGATCTCAAAAGACACCGCGGGAGAACTGACACCAGAGATGAAGTCAGCTCCCTCCAGCACCAATGAGTTGTTGGGAAGGCCATATGTCGAAGCCCATGGTATCACAGAAGCGGCCCAAACCAGTTCGGTTGCACTCCTACTGCGGTCGATTCGATTGCCTGCCATCGTGTTCATTTGCGAACATGCAGAGGGGCGGTCTTGTTTTGACTCGTTTCGGCGCCTTGTGCCGCCTGTTGGGCCCAACGGTCACAGCATCCCAGAGATACAGCTCTGGGTTTTTTCTTGGCTTGGTACCCCTTTTTGGGGGGTTAGAGGAGGACCCAAAGAGAACAGGAACCCCACATTGGGGTTCTGAAGTCAAGCCCGGTTTACTTTTGACCAGATGAGGTTTGAATGTCTCAAAATAGGGGACCCGCTTCCCATAGATTCCAAATGACCTGCTCCAAAGGGAGGGTACCCTTAAAACAAACACCACAGATCCGGCGCTGGGTCAACCGAAACACGAGCGCTTAAAGGGCTCCATCCCAATCATGGGAGAAAAGCGCAGGAAGGGCCGAAGAAGGCCTGACAGCACTCTGAATCTTCAGAAACATGGCATTTCAAGGGGCTTTGCTCACCCAAAAGCGTGGATGAGGCTGGCTTCACATCTACCGACCCAGATTTAGCTCGAGGGTGAAATGTTGATTGCACCTAATATTTCCCGTCTATGTCACTGGTTGCATCAATGCCTGCCGCCTTGGCTGAGACCCCTTTTAGGTCTCAACATTGGTCCATGTTTAGATTCACCGCAAGCGGTTTGGGGTCCTGGTCTCTCTCTCTGTCTCTCATGATCTACTTTCAGTTGTGGCACATTTAAGCTCCTGACAAGAGTATCATTTTTGCGGGGGGGCTTCTTAGTTTGGTTAGCATTCATGTCCCACTTTGTTTCACATTTCCGGGAAATGAAGCTTCATGGATCTGAGCTTAGATGCAGAACTCCCACAAGGGGTTTGACAACCAACCATTCTGTAACCTTTGAATGCAGCCAATGTAATATATCCCCTTCCTCCCACACACACACACACAGCATTTGCGCGAGGGTCTCCGGGAGATTAAAGGGTCCTCTTGAGGGGGCCTTTTTTCAGGTGCCATGTTCGATTGGGTTGGTATTGGTGTCAAAGCAAAGCATGGATTGAGGAGCTTTGCCTTGAATCTGACAACGTGCTGCGCGTCCTTTTGCTGGCCAGGCACTCGATTCCGCGGCCGAGATGTGCGGGTGAGCCCCTGGACGATCCTCTCGCGGCGTCCGCAGGCCGTTTTCGCGGTTCCGTTTGCATCCAATCCCCACGCCCCAGCCCCCTCCCCCGAATGTCCCCGCAGACGTATGGGAACATCTAACATCCATGACTTTCAGAAAGCCAGCTACCAACAGTTGGGTGCAAGCTGGTACAATTCCCTTTGGTTCAGTCCCATGGCAGTTTTTGCTATCTACTTCACCCGGTGTACCCCCAGGAAGCCAAGGTATTTTTTGGAGAAGGAAATCTAGTCACATTTGCACACCGTCAATGAAGCCGCTCCACTCTTTTTGAGCGTCAGAGCATGAGCGTCAGGTGTGACATCTGGGTTGAGACTGCATGTCCTGTTGGCCAGCTTGGAGCAGAGATGTGTTTGTTTTCACTGGTGAATTCGTTTGGTTCTTATCGTGGAATCCATCGTTTTTGAGAAGGACCCTTGCGTCACTTGGTGCAAAAGGCCAGGGAAACGTCTTGTCCAGAGGGATGCTGGAGTTCAGGTGCCACACTTGTTGAGTGGCGAGCTGTTGCCCTTTTCATTTGGTGGGCTCCCCCACTCAACATGGCCCAAACCAAAACGATCGCACAGGACAGCATTGGTGCGTTGAAGGGCCAGCGTATGAGCTACCAGCAGCGGGTGGAGGCACGGGAAAGTGGCTCTCAGCTGGTTCTGAGGTCGGAGGGCTCAAGGCATTCCTTTCATGTTTCAAACTGGGGGGAGCCCCTGATAGGGGTGATTTCCTTTTGAAGTTCATGTTGAAGTCGCCTTCCAAAAGGGCATACTCAGAAGGAGACACTCCTATCACACCCGTTGGCTTATGAGCCATTCTGCTTTCGTCCTTGCTGCTTTGGACATGCCCATGTTTTACCTTCCGGCGCGGCGGTACTAGCAGGTCCGCCCTGTGCCTTGTTCCCTTTGCTTTACTGGGTGCCCCGTTATATACAATGAGCCAAGAACCAGGGATGCGCTTTTTTTCCGAACAATAAAGTAGGCTGGAAAGCCAGGAGTACAGGACATGGCCAAGGTCCAACAAATCCCGCTGCGGCTGCTGCCTTTGGTTGTTTGTGTGTGTGTGTGTTTGCAGGGACCATTTTTGGTTTGTCACTGGTTGGTTTGAAGGGAGACACCGGAACCACTTGGAGGTTCCGCAAGTTTGACACACACCCGATCATTGTTGACTCATCATGCTTCTTTAAGCCTGCGAGTCAACTTATAAGGTCCGGAACAGGACCATTGTTCCACTCTTTCGTTCCAGACCTTGAATAGAAACATGTTCCAGACCTTTCGTTCCAGGCCTGCTTTATGTGAGCAATTGCCAGGTCAGAGTACTTATTCAGGCTACTTCTTTGCGTGTTTTTCCTGGTGCTTGCAGCAGCAGGTGGAATGGTTGTTTTTATCCACTGCCATTTCTTGCGCCAAACATGTCGACAGATTGTTGTGTGCCGGAGGGCTTTGAAAGTGAGATCAGCGAGGCGAGACAGTGGAACCAACTGTGTTAACATGCCAGCGTGCGCACACCAAGAGTTACTGTGGATGGACGAAATCCTGCACCAGTTTGAAACCATGAAAAACCATTGTTTGTCGAAATTTACAGGGGAATCGTTCCAGGTTTCTTATGTGGTGCGAAATGGATTTCGCAACCATCCACAGTAGGACTTTAAATCAAGGCCAGGCGAGGAACTACTCTTCAGGCTTGGGCCGGCGAACATCAGCTCGGTTCACCCTTACAAGTCTTGCGCGGTTGTGGTTTTTAGGAGCAACAAATAGGAGCCACAGATGTACCACGTGGTCGCTTCTCCTAAATCAAGGGTTCAGTGCTGGAAGGGTGTTCCTTGGCCTTGCTACACTCTGGGACTGAGCACAACGAAGCTGAGCATAACGAACTTCTTTACATGCTGTTTGCTAGGGGTAGTCATAGAGTTCCAAAAATCAAGCCGTTCCAAAATCAGCCGGTCCAACCTCGTTCCAGACCCGTTCTAGACTTGTTCCAGACCCAGCGAAGCAATTTGCCATCCGGTCCCGCAAGCCTAAGTGGCTGCGCTTTCGCGTGTGCTGGGCCACAGCCTCACCCATTGAATCAGGGAACGGGCCTTCCATTCACAGGTTGGTGGCAGGGGTAGCGACTAGGCACAACCACCTTCAAAAGTCACCCTGAGACACGGTCTCGGCTGGTAGTAAGACAAGGGCAGTGCCCGTGAGCGTTCGGGGCACAAACTTTGGCCCACACGCCGCTTAAAAACTTCAACTCCAGCATGCGCTTTGCCTTCTCTGTCCCTGAAGACCTCTCGACAGCGCCACTTCGCGCACGCTTACCTTGTCAGTCTGCAACTGACGTTTTGATTTGCCCGGCTCGTGCTCCGCATCTCGGGTTGACTGCGCAGGGCGACTTGCCTCAGTAGAGGTGCAGAACTGCCAGCAGAGTTCCTGCGTATGTCCAGCGCATCTTTCAAAGATTTCCTTGGCCTCTGCGAATCCCTTGCAGAAGCCGTTCCTAGCAAGAGACAACAAGCCACCACTGTATTTCGAGGATGTCACGCTGTCTTGCCCTGACGCCGGCCAGCCTTCGGGTGCACATGCTGAACTCCAACCGAAGCTATCCTAATGACGCGAAGGTCACAACGAACCATGTCGTACATCTGACACTGAATGAATGCGTGCTTGAGACGAACTCCCGCCGGCCCTTTAAGCACCTCCATGGAAGATACCCTAAAAAGTACAAGGGATGGTAACGTCCACGAAAAATGCGTCAGGTTTGGCTTGGTAGCATTGTACTGAGGTCTCTCATCCCTCCAAAAGGTTGGGTACTGCAGGTGGGGTGCCAGAGTGCGTTCGTTTGATTACTCCAAGCTGGGCCGAAAACCCAATGGGCTTCGTGCTGAAGCCGCAGGTGCCAGAGAAGAGCCGCAGCTTCGAGGTCAGAATGCCTCAGGTGCCCGTCCGGAATTTGAACTGGGTCCGGCTTGAAAAGAAACGAAAGGAACACCGCAAAGACAGTTTGGTGTCGCCATAGTTTGACACATTTTTCTTGGGATGACATGGTTGTGATTGTTTGCCTGTTTGATGTCAATGTCTGATTGTGCGTGGTTAGCGTCAGCGTCTTTCGCCTGTGTGTGCGTCTGTCTGTCTGTCTGTCCTGTCCTGTCCTGTCCTGTCCTGTCCTGTCCTGTCCTGTCCTGTCCTGTCCTGTCCTGTTTGTCTGTCTGTCTGACTGTCTGACTGTCTGACTGTCTGACTGTCTGACTGTCTGACTGTCTGTCTGTCTGTTTGTCTGTCTGTCTGTTTGTCTGCCTGCCTGCCTGCCTGCCTGCCTGTCTCTGTCTGTCTGTCTGTCTGTCTGTCTGTCTGTCTGTCTGTGTGTCTGTGTGTCTGTCTGTCTGTGTGTCTGTGTGTCTGTGTGTCTGTGTGTCTGTGTGTCTGTGTGTCTGTGTGTCTGTGTGTCTGTGTGTCTGTGTGTCTGTGTGTCTGTGTGTCTGTGTGTCTGTGTGTCTGTGTGTCTGTGTGTCTGTGTGTCTGTGTGTGTGTGTGTGTTAGTGTGGGGAACGTAGGCATGACTTGGCAGGTGGCAGCGAGTTTTCCAAAACGGATGTTGCGGTTGCTGCTACCTCCATCTGCTTAATAATATTGCTCGGTTTTCCCCTGTTAGTTTTAAAGGGAATCTATCACTACTGGAAATATATTTTTCCAGGGGGCTTAAGCAAATGGATGGTGCTATGTTGGGCACAGGGAAAAGTTCCACAGAGCCCACATAAATCCACGAAACGGGGGCTGGAAGGCTTGCCCTGAGTGCGCGGTCGGCATGAAGATAGACTCTATCCCCGGTTGGTATCTTAGTGTTGATCCGCTGCTAGTCATTAAGATTGAACAGATTCACCTGTGCCCTATGGGAGATGATTCAGGAGGGTTGCCTACCCTCCAGAAAGACGCCCTCAGGTTGTTTGCTGGTCGACACGTTTGGGCACTTCCACGGCTTCGGTATGGGTGACATATCCTGGTGCCAGGTTTACGGTTGCAGGAGTCGAAAATGAGATCACCCCCTTTTGCAACCCATTTCTGCGTAGCTTGGACTTGGCGTCGCCGTTGTGCAATGCGGGATCGGAACCGAAAAAGGCTCGCCGAGTTGTGCTACTTTGTTCTCCATGTGCCATGCCAGTTGGATACCATTTCCTTTGCCATCTGCATTCACGCTGGACTGTTGCTCAAAATTGGAGCTTACAGAAGCAAAACGGAAGGCAGCAGCTTTTCGGGGTTCTTCTATGGTCCCTCGTTTTGAGAAAAAAAGTCCCGCATAGTGGGTGCATCGAGGTTCCCTTTCCATTGTCAGGTGCGCGCGGAGTCGCCGGCCTCCGAGCCGCCGGGCCCCGAAAGGGATGGATGGGCGGGCTGAGGGCTCCGCGAGCAGTCGCTCATCCTGATGCTTCCAGTTGCCGAAATGAATACGTCTCTTCTTTTTTTTGGCTGAAATGAATATGTTTTATTTTCCTTGTTGGTTTTACAGGGAATATATCACTACTGGACATATGTTGTCATTCTTTAATTCGTTCCTGTGCCTGGGGGCTGAAGCAAATGGGAAGTATGCTGCTCTTGTTGTACGGACCGTAGTGGTGTCCACCATTCTGGAACTATTGGAGCTGAACAGGATCCGTTGGAACAAACATCCTAGAACCACTGGGATCCGAGAGCAAAGTTCATGACCCTCTTGGATCCATTGAAACAACTAGGCGGTCAGTATCTCAAAGGTCCGTGAAGAGCGGGCTCATGTGTGCAACCCGGAGGCATGTTCGACCTCAGATTCAGGATGAAACTTGCTAGCGACAGAGTGTGAGTCCCGAGTCCTACAAGCAGCAAGATGGGTGAGTGGCTGGTTTCCAGGAGTTCCGTTTAGACACCGAAAGGGCTTTCCAAGTTGGGGAAGCGCCCGGGGTGATGAACAGCGGCAATCGGGTTACATTCCTCGCAGAGCTCGGCTGCGGTTAGAATGAGCGCTCAAGACGCATGAAGATCCCTTGCTTGGTTTTCAAAGATGCATGTTGCAGAATCGAGAATGCCCGTGTACGGCTTTGGACCTCTTTCGGTGTAGTTAGCTATCCCAACGAACCTACGGCATTTGAACCAAAAGCTCTTGGATCCATCGCTGCTCCCCGCTAGCGGGTCAAACTTCGACATTTGCTTACTTTGTTGGTCGCAAGAGGCTGCTGTAAATCTGGTTTAAGACTTTTTCTGGGCAGCAAGACCATTTCGGGGTCAAATCACGTCGGGGGGTTGCAATGATTTCAACTCGGTTTTCTCAGGTCCTCGGAAGCTTCAGGCCGGGAGCGCTGCTTTAACTGCGTCATTTGGTTTCGGACCCATTTGTGGAGTTCCTAACCCCCGATTCGCCCTTTTCGTAGGCCTCGCAACGGATATTGCCAACAGGCTGTGCCCAGTGGGCGGTTGGGAGTTCGGAGATGTTCAAGTAGGTTTCCGACCTACGAGCATCGCCGACCGCAAAGCAGACAAGGGTTCAACCGGCCGGCCAAAACGATGAATATGAGGAACCTTGTCCGGCCCCAAACTCTTTGCCAGAATGGACATTTACATGGGGGGTGATGTCGACCACTTCTGGTTGAGGGTTGCACATTCAAGTTCATGTGCCATGGGCCTGTGGACCAGTTCATCGCCACTATGTCCACCACCGTTTCATGATTGAGGGTCATCGCCATTTCTTGGGTGACCCCAATCGATTGGATACATTGTCCTTCGGCGCAAGCGATAAGCGATTTGCCCGCGCTTGGGGATTTGGGCCCCCAGTTTTGGGCTTCCCTATCAACCAGCCCCAAAGAGGGGCGCCCGGTACCCTCAAAAGCCGACATTTCAGGGTGGAAACTTGGATTTGGGCGCGCTTCTGCCAGGCCGTGAACCTTCAGCTCCGGAGGCGAGTCTTGCGTGTTTTGGATCGACACATCTTGTCCTGGGTCCCAATGCAAAGGGGACTCCCTATGTAGAGCTATGTATATATATATATATATATATATATATGATATGTATATATATACACACTCTACGCATGTGTGCATAGCATGTATGCATACGACATACCCATGTCAACTTTCTCTTTTGGGTCAAACATCATATTTCGGAAAGCCACCATTAAAGTCAGTTTTTTTTTTTTTTTTTTTTTTCTGGGGTGGAGTCAGTCAGAGAGAGAACGGGAGGGATAGACAGATCAAAGAGATAGACAGACAGACAGACAGACAGACAGACAGACAGACAGACAGACAGACAGACAGACAGACAGACAGACAGACAGACAGATAGACAGTTTGATAGATAGATAGATATAGATAGACCGATAGATAGATAGATAGATAGATAGATAGATAGATAGGTAGACAGGTTGGATAGATAGATGAAGAGATCGTTTAGGCGGGTCAAATAGCTAGATTGCTAGCTAGCTAGCTGGACGGCTAGATCGATGGATAGATAGAGACATTTTGAGGATAGAGAGACAGATTGTGAGCGGCTGGAGATAGAGAGACAGAGAGACAAAGAGACAGAGAGATAGAGAGACAGAGAGACAGAGAGATAGAAAGATAGAACTATAGAGAAATAGGGGCACAGATAAAGACAGCTTCCAGAGATAGTGACAGCGAGACAGAGACAGATATATAAATAGATGGATAGCTAGATAGCTAGATAACTAGATAGCTAGATAGCTAGATAGCTAGATAGCTAGATAGATAGCTAGATAGGTAGATAGATAGATAGATAGATAGATACATAGATAGATAGATAGATAGAACCTCTTGCTAGCTAGACAGTTTGCTAGATAGATGGAAAGACAGACAGGTAGGTAGATAGACAGATGAACAAATAAATAAGACAGGAAATATTAGAGAACACATCATGGAAAGATAAACAGATAGAGATGAAAGAAGGGCAAGAGAGAGGCAAGAGACACAGAAAGAAGAGGAAGGGAAAAAGAGAGAAGAGAAAAGGAAAGAGAAAGGGGAAGAGACAGAGCAAGAGCAAGAATAATAGACTGAGCAATAGAAAGAGAACGAGAGAAAGATAAAGAGAGAGAGAGAGAGAGAGAGAGTGAACAGGATAAAGAGTGATGTATAGTTGTCAGTCTCCTGGACATTCCACCGAGTACTATTTTCGTTTAGCTTTTGCTTGTGCCTTTGTTTGCAACGCAAGCGCCCGCAAATTGCTATAAATGCCTCAGCGGTGAACGCGCGCACAACGCTGGCAAACAACCCCACAAAAGTGCACATCCTCACAAAATTCCTAATCACCAAAAACGCCTTACATCGCGAAACGCCCAGGAAGAATGTGCAAAGGAATGTCCAGGCTTCTGAAACTTCCACCAACCGGCTTCGGCTCTACTGGCACAATGTTGCAGGGGATAAACTACAGGTTTTCCCTTGCTCCCCCCCAAAAAAAAAGAAAAGAAAGAAGCATAAAAAGGCAACACATCCGTGGGCCCACGGAACCGCAGGCGAGCGTCGAGCCGACCGCGGAGGCGCGGCCCAGGAGCGAACCGCGGAGGCGGGGAGGGGGGGGGGACATAGCCATGGCTAGCGGACCGACCTGACATGGGGTCTGGGTGAATTATAACGACCTCACACGACCGAATTCACCCCAAATGGTGGTTTATGTGGGGAATATTGCCCCAATCACCTTATTTCAGGTTGGTGAAACATTACAATTGCAATTCACCCAGATGGGGTGAAGAGCCAAATATGCAAGTCTGCTGGACGCCGAACAATTTCTACGTGGCAAACAAGCCCGACTGATTGTAGAGTTGTTTTTTAGGGTTTGAGCCTCTTGGTGTTTATGGCACCCGGTGATTTGGTTTGGTTCAGGTGGCTCTGAATGATTTTGACCGAATCATACAAATTCCTTCGGAGAATGAGAGCGGTGTTTAACCCACAAGACGTTTTTCGGCGGTTTGGAGGTGGTGACCATCAGGGGCAGGATCCGATTTTGCGGCTCATCAGAAACCCTGGGTTCAGAGGCAACTGGACTCACGAGCAAGGGACAGGAAGCGAGAGAGGAGGGGTGGGGCTTGGGGGTGGGATAATTGATGACTACTTCTTTTTGCGTTTTGGTGGAAATCTGCCTTTTACCAGGGTACTAAAACGCGCTGATTTTGGACCTCTTCAAGGTGCCGACAGGCTTTTGTTGTTCCATGAGGCTAGCAAGGCCGCTCCTGGGGCCTGTGCAGAATCGGCTGAGTTGAAAACTGACACCAGAACTGCGGGACGTGTTCGCGTTTTGATCATGATTGCTTTTGATGTTTGAGCCGGTTGTTTTTCATGACCCTTTTTGCTTAGAGTTTCTTTTTCCCCTTTTCCGTTTGGGTTCGTCCTGGAAGCAGCAAGATTGCTCCCTGCGAATCTGTGAGATGGCGAGCCTTGCCGTGGGACTTGACGCTTGGAGAGCTGAGAGCACGACAGCGCGCTGGGCGCAGCTCAGCAAAGTGACGGAAGACGAGTGGTCCAGATTCCAGGGCAAGGGGAAGCGCTCGAAGCCTGCAGATTCCTTCAAGGCTGGTGCCGAGTACGAGGTGGCTGCGATCGCCATCACTGGTGTTGATGCAGGTGCCTGGGCCGTTGCAGATGCTGAACCTTCTGGAGAACCTCACAGAAGGTTTCAAAAGTCTTCCAAGGTTCCTTCAGGAAGGACTCGGGCAGTGATCTTTCGGTTCCAGTCACCGGGACATTGCTTAAGTTGATAGGTTGGTGGTTTGGATTGGTCGAACCCAAAGTTCCGTGTTGAAACCAGCATGGAAAGGTTTCCCCTAACCTCCAAGAAGCTAATAGGGAAGACTGATTGTTCGTTTAAAGTGCTGGGTGAGGTTGCGAGTTGTGCTTCGTGACACCATTTGGGGCTGTCATTTTTGAGAGTACCCCTTTTTTGTGGTTTGAGCGGGAGACACCAAGGAAACCCACCATTTCGGGGGGTGCAAAAAACAAAGATACACCCATTTGCGGAAGTGTCCGTTCACTTCTCCAAGTGAAATCTCGTGACCTCAGCAAAGGGAGAGGTTTGTCCTTCAACTGGGGAGCCTCGTTTTTTTCCCGTGAGTCCGACCATCCGTTTCCTCAGGCCTTTAGGGGCTTTTGGGGCGTGGCCCCGGGTTTCCATTCCACCCAAGGAGAGGACTTTTCTTTCGGGATCCGAACAATGGGCCGCCCCGTGAGTTCTCATCTGCCCGATTTCGGATTTCTCCAGGCCTCGACGTCGGAAGGCCAGGTGGGTTTTTTGGGGCGGGCCTGGGCCTTGGGGCTTCTTGGCCGGGCGGGGACTTCTTGGCGCCTTGAAGATTGCAAGCCCAGGACATATGAGCGTCGTTATAAAACACACTGTGGGATATTTTCTGGGCCTGCGGCCTCTAGCCAG